TTTTCTCCTAGTGGAACGCACTTTAAAACACTTGACAAGGAATCAAAGAAAAATGCTATCAATGTCATCATCAAAGAGAATGCCTAACAAATTGTCATGTCACAGTCACAGTCATATCCATGACTTCAGTTACCTAATTTTCAGTCTAAAAAATTTCTGAGGAAGATCAAGAAGTTACTGTTATCACATATCGGGATGAAATCCTCCTCCATAAGTTATATTTTCTACTGTTTCTATATTATATTTTCTATTGTTTCTCTATTTTCTATACGTTATTTTTCCAACAACTTCTAGCAGCTTCTGAAAGCATTTAAGGTTTTTAAGCAAAAATGAATATAAACAACACATTGAATCAATCTTTTTAAAATCTCCCTGGAAAATTTTTTAATCTTTCTCTAACGGTATTAAAGTGCAAACCCAACAAACTCTGAATGTATTTTGCTAACAATTTAACGCTTTTTCCTCACAAATGCAGCACGCTACAGTTTTACCTGGACATGTGAAAAGGTAAGAAATGCTTTCACCTACCAGCCAGTGTTCCCCAACGCAATGGAAATGGAACTCAGCAAAAGGTTACACTTGGATTCACTCACAACGGCCTCATTATTTGCAGCAGGAGCAATCACCACAAACTCCCGTAAGCCGTACCTTGAGAAAGACAAAAAAAGAGCACATTTCTGGTCTTTAGCAAGCCAGCTGAAACAGAATTTTTAGAAACACTGTGACCTGAATAACCTAATTGTCACCAGCAGACTGTGGAATCTGATTTGATGTGAGTACCTCTGTCAGAGAGGTCAAGAACTGAGTGGGTAGGGAGTGCTGCACAGTCCGAAATCACAAACCACCTGAGCTCAATAACACTCAAACCTTGTGAAGTGTTTGATTGTGAGGACTTCCAGGTCTATCAGTCCTGAGGCTTTTTGTTTTATAATAATAACAACTGTAACTGCTTATACACAAAAACAGTCTCTAGAACAATGTTATAATGTGCTGAATATTTGCATTACTAAGAACATAGTTGCTGTTTCTTAAGGTGCTGCAGCTTCCCTTTTTAAGAATGTACCTAAATACCACATATATAAAAACTTGGTTGATATATGAAACTGAGACAAAAGTCTTTGGGGACAAAAAACAAAAGTAAAGATAGGCCTTTTTTTGCACTCCTTTCCTGTGTCCAGTACGAAGAATCATTTTCCTTAAGCTTTAACTTTCAATTGAAAAACAAATATACAAGTGCTTGTGCCAGCATCAGAGATTTCTCAGTTGCTGTGCTGGTTTGCATTAGAGACAAGAGGCAGGGTACATACCATCTCACCAGGCAGTGAGCTCGAGGGGGGAAGTCATTGTTCATGCACAGCAAGTCCTGCATTGGCAGTGGAAGGACATCTGTGAAAAAAAAAAATCCATATATAAGATCATCAGCATCCATCCAGCTCACTTGCAAATTGCTTAGATTAGCATTGTGTGAATGCAAAGCATACTAAAAGCAGAAATGTTAGATCACACCCATCAGATCTCACAAAATCTCACTCAGAAGCAAATCAACACACTGTGAATTCCACATTCTGACACTGCCTTTTGTCATATCCTTACAGGTACGTGAGGGAACTAGCAGGTACCTTCTGCCAGCTCTTCTTTCCCATCTTTGTCACTGGGTTCTTGTACAAGATAATGGTGGGTAACTGAGAATTTGAAGTCCGCAAATGAAATTTCATCTGATTTCTCTTCCCATGTCCCTGTGGTGTATATACCCTGCATACAAAAATATAGTATTCTGTCAACAAATTTAGGTTAACATTCATTAGTATATTACCTACGTGATCAATAATGTTTATTTATGTTTTTCTACTGCCAAATATTTATTCATAAATAGCTAAGCATGATTTAATTTCAAAAAAACACTGCTCAAAGCACTTCATTATAAAGGTGGTTGAATGCTAAAATCCATGTTGTTGATAATCACGTTCATTCCAAGGATCAGATATCTCCCTGAGAAATCTTCAGAATTATATGGCAATAAAGGGGCAGAAATATATTCTCATATGTTACTATGCATCTTAAGTATATGCACCCTCAATTTTGCCAGAGACAGAAGTTTCTCATCTGGGACTACACCTAAACCAATCTGTGCAAATATTACCTTGATATTTACTTTGAATATACTTCCGCTAACAAATTATTTTTTTAATCTTTAATTTGCAAAAGTTCTGTAAGGATAATTCATTTTTAAACATAAATACAGCATAGGAGATTCTAAGAAAATCGGCATAACTGTACAGAATTCTGTGCTGCTGCTAAAACAAAGCAACTTGGACAACCCTCTGATCTGTAAATGGTATTAGGAGAGGTCTGGTCTAGCAAACAAGACATGTAGGAACACACAGACAGCTAAGGTGTAAAATTAGTTCATTAGATAACAGAAATTTTTATTCTGAATGCTCTGTACCCTGGCTAAAATCAAGAATTATTGAATTCCTGTGGAAACACAGCAGCCATTCCGTCCAGAACAGCTGAATTTGTTTGCACGGGTACGCAGAAGAGCTTAGCAATTTCCTCTGCATTTTACAGGACTGAGAAAGCACCACAAAGGCTCTAATTAGACTCTGAAAAAAATCTCTCCGATCTATGAAACATTCTGAGTCACTGTGCAAACCTCAGCCACAAGTACATGAGGTGTGACAAAGGCACAAGGCAGGGGGAAAAGATTCCTAAAGAATTTACAGCAGCTTCCATCATTTTTCCAGATTCAAATTGAAAATAAAATTAAAAAAAAAATCACTAAGTCCTATATGAAGATTCAGCTTTATCAACAAACAGCCTGTTTGGCAGACGGCCCATCAGTAAATTTACAGCAACTGTTTGTCAAATTGGCACTTTTATAAGAGACGTTCCCTAATAAAAATCATTATCGGCCACACTTAAGAAAACAGTGATAGATGAAAGTACGTGTGAATGACTAGTTAGCAATTCAAATTCTAAAAGAAAACTCAAAAGCCGTAACTGACCTTTTCTAGAGGTTTGCCTGAAGAAACCCCAATAAGTTTCCAGTCATTCAATACTTCTTCTACTTTTGAAATAAATCTATTAGGGAGGGGAAAAGGCATTAATATTTACTGAACGCTGAACTTGTATTATAATTCATCTGCTCAAAATCAGGCAATTTGTTGTCCTACTATGGAACTCCTTAAAAAAACCCAAAGAACAAACAACTAACAAAAAAACCCACAACAAGAAGTAAAACAATAAAACCAAAACAATTGCTTCCTTGTACAAATAAAACAGACCTCCTATGCTTACATTTCAGATTATAGTTACTCTTAGCAACTGCTATGACCATCTTTTGAGTGTTTATAAAGAATCTCACCGTTTTCTTTTTCTGATATTGCAGCACATAACATTTAACATATGGTCTTGTTTCACTGCTCACAGATAAATAAACATTTGAGACAATTATAC